CACTCTGGACGCTTGATCAATTCTGAGACATTTTTGCCTTGTACATGTGAGAGCGCCCAGGATCGTGAGCGTGGCTTTCCAGGCACAAACATAGATTCGTTTTAAAAAGACAGCTTATGATTCTTTTTATGTTAAAAAAAAAAAGAAAAGAAAATGACTCCCTGAAGTCGGAAGGTCTTGTGGTCTTCAGTCTTGAAACTCGCTGGTTCTCTTCCTTTACTGAGCCGATATTTAAATGTTTCCGCCCAGACTGAAAATTGCACAGTTAAGTAGGGCGCGTCTGCGTCAGAGGAAGTTGAGTTCAGTGATATCGGGAATATGCTTTGGGAACCTGCCTTAAATACCCATTTCCTGGAGAGGTTGGGAGAATTCGGTGTTAACATCTCTTCTTCATCCTGTCTTGCGTTCCAATGAGGAGGAAGGACAGGCTTCCAAGCTCCAGTTCACAGAACAAATGAAGTGTCTGGGATCCAGCCCTGGGCTTAGTGCACACCAGGCACAGTGTGCTTCTAATGCCGGCGTTTAGTGCAGGCACTGGAATTCAACAAAGCTGTGTACTGTATGCCTCAAACTGTTCATGGAGTATTCCCAAGGCTGGGGAGATGGCTCAGTGGATGAGTGTGGAGGTGGGAGGGGCCTAGTTGGCATCCCACATGGGCAGTTGCAATACTGGTGCCCCGGTATGGGGAAACGGGGGAATTCCCAGAAGCTCATAGCCATCTACCATAGCACACACAGCAGTGAACAGAGATGGTCTCAAGGTAGAAGGCAGGCAAAGACCAACTGTGGCGTGCATACACCCACATTCACACACATGCACACACATCATACACATACATACAAAAAGAAAATACATTGTATTTCACTAAACAAAGCTATTAAGTTGCTTGATCTGTTACGAAGGGATGGAGCATTACTGCTGTTTGTTCATATATGTGCCTCCATAAATACACCAGAGTGTGTGTGTGTGTGTGTGTGTGTGTGTGTGTGTGTGTGTGTGTGACCACAGTGTGTGTGTGTGTGTGTGTGTGTGTGTGTGTGTGTGTGTGTGTGTGTGTAATTCCAGTGACTGAAAGCAGGTTCTGGGTAGCAGACTGCCAGAGGTGTGTCAATCTAAATAACAAAGATTCCCCAAAGATGAATGAATATGTAGTTCAGGGGAAGAACACTTGCTTAACATGGGCAAGGCCCTCTGTCAGATCCCTGGCACTGGAGGAGAAAAGGGGGGGGGGGACTTACAGAGCACTGCAATGAAAGTGAGGCAGCACTGTTTTATACTGTACAGACCAGAAGACTCTCCGAAGCAGAATGAGGACTCGTTCACATTGTGAGACAATAATTCTCAGCTGAGGGGATCATAACCAGCATGGCCTCAGTCTAAGGTTAAACAGAAGTTATTTTTGGTGTAAGCCTGTAGTGAGAGTAGTTTTCTGTGCTGGAGCCTGTCAAGAATGCATGCTTGTGAGCCCCTCTTCAATAACTTCTTCATTATTTACTGTTCTTAGGACTTGGCAAAAGTGACTGTTTTCAGTATGACAGCTTTCACACATACACACACACACTTTTATTTAGTGCTTTCTCTGGAAGGGCTGCTGATCAGTAATTCTGGAGTTGGGTTTTGCTCATACTTGATGCCAGAGTGGACCTGTCCCAGTTGTTGGTTAGATCTGTCCCCTGAGCAAGTGGCTAGGGCTTAGTGTTCAAATTCACTGCTTCCCAGCCACATAAGAACAAGGAGGTTGAGGAGCAGTTCTCAGGCAGTTTTTCTAGAGCCCATTATGAAGCTCAGCTTTCTCTTTGGTAGATAAGACTGCATTAAAGACCCTGGTCTCACATTGTCTGTTAGGGCTTATGGTTCTGCAGGTTTATTGCCAGCAGGTACAATGTACAAAGTGAGGCAAATAGCAAATGCAGTTCGCTATTTGTGTAGGAACCAAGCCAAACAAAGGTCAGGTGACCAATGGGAGGTAGCTGAGACCTGTTGTAACCGTTGGACATCTCCTGTTTCATGGAGTTGGGTCTCATTTCCCCCAGGGGGATTTATGCAGGTACAGTATTAACAGTGCTGACACAGACATGTTTATACACAGAATACACGCATAACACACGTGTACCTGGCATGGACTGTTTTCATAAGGGTATTCATTATTCTCACAAAATTTCATATTAATTCTCTTGTATTTTTTGTATGTAGTGTCTAGTGAAGATCTAGGGGGGAAGTAATCTGTCATAGACCAGTGTGTGTGAAAATACACATTTGATTTTAGTCAGGTGTTCAGTGTTCAACAGGTCACATGTATATGTACATCAATAGTCCTTTCCATAGAAATTAACAAGGTAAAAGTTCCAGAAGAACTTTTGGCATTGATCTTTCAGAATTTTAACTTACAGAAATGACTCAAGGGCTCAGTGCCTCGCCTTATGGCTGCACAAAGTGCTGAATTTGGTCCCCAGCAGAAAGGGGGGGGGGGAATCTCTCTAGCATTGTATGAGCATTTTGTAATTTAACATAACTTTAAATTTTCAAATTACATGAAAAGTTCAATTCTTATAAACATCCCATTCACAATCACCTAATTTATTTAATGGATCACTTATGAAGATCGAGGTATTAGACAAACAGCCGTCACTTTTTTTTTCTGTCAAAAGCCCTAGGAAGTGTAGTCATGCATGCCTGTAATCCCAGCACTGGGAACCAAGCTGAAGGACCTGAGTCTGAAGTCAGCACAGGCCCATGGTGGGACCTTGTCTCAGGAAGCTGAAGAAAATTCATCACTGGATCCAGCACAGTCCTTTATTTAAACAAAACAGTATTTGCAAAACAAAGGGTATTATTGAAATCCTCTGGTCTGGGGTCCAAAGGGGCACTGAGGGAGATTATTCTCTTGGGTAAGAAACTTTTAAAAAGGTTTATTAAGGGGTCTGGAGAGATGGCTCAGCAGTTGAGAGCACTGATTGCACTTGCAGAGGACCCAAGTTCAATTCCAGCACCCACATCGTGCCATCTATAACTCCAGTTCCAGGGGATCCAACACCCTCTTCTGTCCTCTTCAGACACTGCACCACACAGGTGCACACATTTCTTTAAAAAGGCTTATAATGTCATGGGCCTACAGACAAGCAGACAGTGCATAGCAGCTCTGAGGGTGCTCAGGCCCACCAGGCAGAGGGAGTCCTCTCCTATAGATCTCAGAGAAGTGGGGATCAGGCAGCAGGATGAGAAGGAATTCTGATGAGGACTCTGAGGATATGGAGAAGGGGGATCTCTAATTGAGGTGGAAGAAGGGCGTACCCAGACCCTTCTGACAGCTCAGACTTGGCAAGTTCAGGTCTGTTAGCTTCCTTGGAGAAGTGAGAGTGGCAATGGGGAGCCTGTTTACAGATTCATAGAGACCTTCTTGGTGGGGTGTGTATCTTTCTGTAGAGAGCAGGGATCCCAGAATCAACTGTGAGGCTGGGAGTAGAGGGCTGATGGGTAGTGGGCAACATCTGGTCTGAAATTCTAATAATTGTTTTTTAAAACTTTTGTAAATAAAGGCTTCAGAATTTTTTTCCTTAAGAAACAAAGGAACAAAACAACAAAAAACAACCCGAGAGCAGACACCATGCGCTCTGAGCTACACATTTATTTTTTAGGTGAAACTTAATGATCTTAAACCTCTAACAGATTAGTACAAGTCCTTCCTGGTCAACCACCCAGGGAGAACATGTGCTAACAATTCTGAGGACATCTCCTTTATTTTACCAGCAAATTTCAAACTGTTCTTACTTACTAGATTTCACTTACAACATGTGAGCTAAGAGAGATGTGGGTGAATTACTGTTTTTAACAGTTTTGATTTATTTGAGCTCTCGTTTGTTAGTGAGTCTGTAAGTCAGTTTTAGGGCAACTCTTTAAGGGGTTTTGCCTTGCAGACCCAACTCATAACAGATACTCCTGTGTAATACACACAGACATACACAAAAATCTTAGAACTCTCAATTTAGAATGTTAGTCATGGATCAGAAATCCCTAGAAATGCATCCATTTATAAGAAGATTGAATCCAAGTCATATTTCTGACAAGGTAGGACAAGTTGAAGCTTTCAATCCTGGAAAGACTGTGGACCAACATTTGGGTTAAGCAAGTTCCCATACAGGCCCCTGATTTTTTTTGTTGGGTTTCTTTAACACAGGAGCTCACTATGTAGCCCAGGCTGGTTTCCGACTCCTGAGTGCTGAGGTTACAAGCCTATACCATTGTACCCAGCTTTGCTTTTCAAAAATTATGATTAACATTTTCTCCTTCTTTTAGTCTCTTGTGAGTTTAAGAACACTCAGTTGTTTACATTTTGGTTATGGCCACTGGGAAAATCATATTCAAGCCCATTTGAATTTAATAATGGAATTTGTTTCCAATAGACTCGTCAATACAGGCAGAAGACGTTTTTTGGAAATGATTTTTAAATCGTTATTTTCAGCTATTCAAGTTTCCTTGCTGCCTGTGGCAAAGTTATGT